TGTGGATGGATTATCTCAGTTGTTCTCCTGACTGAAGTTTGGTCCGTTTACAGCATCCTGCCATGCGATTGCATTTGTCTCTAACTATCAGGCACGTTGACTTTTATAAGTGGAAAAGTGTTAGTGTTCGTCCTCCAGCTTCACTGTTTATGTTATGCTAACATAGCTGTGTCGCTAGCGATCACGTAGCACATCATTATATACCAGCTAGCCCAACTTCAGTAACCCTACAAACGTCACTGCTGTTTAGTTTCCTGTCTTCATTTATGTTGGAAGTGATAGCAGAGCTGTACGTTTGATTTTTTTCAGAAATCTCTCAGTCAAAACATGCTATATCATGCTTAGGTAACTAGCGAAACTAGCGAGCTAACTTCCGCTAGCTTCCTGCTAACTTCTAACTCCGTTAAATGTAATAACTTTTGTTTTCATGGATGCCTGGAAGTTAAACTTCATAGTTACACCTGGTAAAGCAGCAATGCTGATCGTTTTATTAAAGATGAAAGAATTTAGACAGTTTTTAACTCTAAGTGATGCTGCAGTGTTGTTTGACATGAAGAATACGGAGTTTAGGACCCAGATTACTCCCAGATTTAAGAGCATCTTAGTCCGACAAATACGACAATAGCAACGGCCGCTTGCATGTTCTGCAAAAAAATGTGCTTTGTTGTGTATCTGACGGACAAACACCAAACCAGTTCCACATCACGGAAGTTGCACCATTTTTACAAACCAATTCTGGTTCATCTGTTTCACTCAACAATCGGCCATGTGCGTATGAAAACAAAGGCACTGCGCATGCGCGTTTTACTCCCATTCTATCGCGATATTTCATTTTCCTATCGTTGCCTAACATTATACCGGTATTACCGTGAACGGTATAATATGGCCCAGCCCTACTTTGAACTGCAAATGTTTCAAGCTGCAGTTTCTAGCAACCACACTAAACACTATAAATCGTATTATCACTAATCAGGTCAGGGCTGTCCTACAGTGCGGTATTATAGTTCAAACATGAGAATGTCATTCACAACTTTGGTTTGTGCATAGCCTCCACTCAGTTCAGTTTACATCTTGGCACTATTCTAAGTCAAACACAGCACACCTTGGGAACTGTGTGTTTTGGATGTGTGTGTGTGTGTGTAGACCTATATATTTACAGTATATGTCATGTGGGAGAATACTGAGAAAACTCAGCACTGAGGCTCAGCAAGCAGTGTGCAGGGAACCACAACCCACAGAAGAAAGCACACCATGTCCATAAAGCTTTGCATGAGGCAACCGCCACACCACTGCTGTGGTCACAGACACGAGGCCAGAGTGGATGTGCAGACATGAACCAGAGACACGTTTTGTGTTTACGGGCAGCCAGAGAACGGTGTTTGATGGTGTCCTCACAGCCCCCGCCCCCCTCATGAAGTTCAGCTGATTTTTCTCAGTCTCGGCGTCAATCTGTGTGTCAGGCTCCTGCATCTGACTTGGCTTCACAGCTAATCCACACACATAAAGGCGCTTTATTTTTCAACTGGCACCTCCCTCTCTGCTGACTCCATTCTTGAAAAAGGTCTTAGAGTTTATAATTGAAAACTCACTGGTTAAAAAGACACCTGTAGAAGAGTCTCGCGGGAGTCTTGCTAAATGTAGGATATGCTTTAAAGAGTCGCCTTTCTGGTGCAATATTGTACTTTGTCCTCAAGAAAGATGCCTACTGCTCACTCTGAATGTGGATGGCTAAAATATAATTCCAGTGTCTGTTAGGCAGGTGTTTAGTGTTTTTGATATGTTTATAATGTATAATGTTCTGCATCCTAATGTAGCATGTTGTCAATTATGGATCTACTGATGTAGTATTTCTCAAGTCAGAACTTGACTAATATCCATCCAAATACTAGATTAGTAGATTGGCATTAGTCCAGCTCTGATTTGAAGCTGGATGAGATATTGTCACCAATGTTGCCACCTATGGCTATTCAGTTCAGTTACATTTTGCTTACTGCATAGAGCATCAGCAGCAGTGCACCGTTAACGCTAAAGAAAACAGTGTTTGGAAACCAGAACACATCCAAAATTATTGTGACAGTGTGCAATGAACTTGAGTCTTGTTGCCATTTAAATATTTGCTTTAAAGATGGGAACCAGATCTGTAGACAGTCAAAGTCAGTTCTTTGCAGCTTTGGTGCATGAAGGAGCAGTAAGAATCTACTGTCAGTTTATGATCGAATCAGTTGAAGTTAATACTACGATTAAGTGTGATAAATAGGCAAAAACCACAAAGCTGTTGCAAATCAATTGCTGTTTACATACAGATATTTACATTAAAATACTTTCAGTCAAATAAGAACCTCATAGAGCTGAAACAGAAATTGCTCCATAAATACTGACGTAATTGATTTAAGTGCAAAATGACAGTTGCTTGGAAATCTTGTTTATATATAGGAATGTAACCAGAGTACAACCAGATGGCAGCCTTGTTAAGTCGAGTCCCCTATTGCAGAGAGACCCATTGCAGATGAGCTGCGCTCATCAGTCACCCAGACTGACTCACATTAATTGCAGTTGCATTAGTTGGCAATATGTTTGTGTTTATAAATTGAATTTGGACACAGGTTGTGTCCAACCTAGTAGCTTGTCCAAGTGCCTTGAGTTCAGAAGTGTTTGAGGGTGTTACATGCTCAACCTCTGGGAAACCACTTGGTCACTGCAACTATTTGCTGTCAGTCGCTGAATGCAAAGGAATTCAGTGCAATCACCGGGCAACCACTGATGTTTCCTGGTCACAAGGAGGTGCCCGTTTTTATCTACCGTGACTGAGGAAACTAAGAGCAATGATTTAGATGCTAGTGAAGTTCACTGCATAACAAAAATAAGTCCTGCTTGGTTTCCACAAATGTCATAAGTGTGAGTAGAAGGTTTGCTTTAGTGTGCCATTTGGTTCATTTTAAACCCACTGATCTCTAGTGTGCAGGGTTAGCCTTTAAGTTTAGTTAGTATACTGTTGTCATGAAAAATAATCAAAAACACAGTAACTTGTGCCCTCTGACAGCCTACGTGGAAATTAAAAACCCCACTAAAGATAGGGATGAACCGCAATTATATACACAAATATATGCATATGATACTTTGCATTGAGAGCATACGTTTGAATAAAGGTGCTGCTGTGGTTAGCTGTGGTTTGTCTGCAGTAGCTACACTTTTAGGAACAAATCATATCTTTTATTACAAAAACAGTTGGTTCCATAAATTTTAAATGGAGAAAGTTGGAGTAAAATGTATTTTTACTATCAGTCTCTGTTATGTGCCATGACCCAGAATTTCACACTGGTGCCAGTCATTAAAAAAAAAAAAAAAGCCCAAGAAATGCAACAAAACCCTGATAAAAGCTCTTTCAGGTTTGTTAGAATGTGTTTAAGCCAGCTGTCTCATAGGTGTATATTTAGTAAGGTTTCTGCCTCATCTGCAGTGAGCAACTGTTTGCAGTATCACAGGATTATTCACTGGAAATTGGTGTCAAGTGTGTCACCCCATAAATCAGTATCTTATCTCTGTTTAATCAGCCTTCACCAAGCACCATCAGGTAGCTCTCATGATTCATTTTCCCCTGAAAGCCACAGTGCTGGGAGATGCTGTGATGTTGTGGGATTAGTACTGTAATTCTGTTCTGAGAGAGGAAATATGAGCCATCTGAACTCAGAGTATCCACAGCAAGGAACGCAAAAGGTTTTTAGCAAGTGTGCAAACCTCAGCAGCTCACTGTATCCTCTGCCTTCTCTTCCAGTCAAACTGTCACTCATTGTGTCTTTTCTCAGTCTTTCTGCATGCTGAATCTGTGGATGCTCTGATCCAGTTAGGCTTCGGGTAACTTCTAATACCAAATACTGACCCAAAACCAGCATCAAATGAAAAAGCTGGATGCCTCACTGCGAGGAAAGACTTGTAATCATTCTTTTCTCTGCAAGGTACCATAAGGCCCAACTTAAACAGTGCTTTCCTAACTTTGTATTACAAATAAGTACATACTGGAATATAAATGTACTGAATTGGTATTTATTAGTAAATTAATAGAAATTTAGTGATGTACATAGAACTGCACCTACAAACATAACTTCCGGAAATTAAAATTAGCAAGCGATACCTCAATGCTGATTCAGGTGGAACAACAGAAAACAGCCCTTTGACTTTGGACATAATTACATCTTTATGGTAGGCAACCAAGATTGTACCATAAACTTCGTTGACATTCAAATTGCTTAAACATAAATATATATCTATATATATATTTTTTAAATGTCCGATAGATACTTTAGCTAGTTGGTAGTTGCCATTAGGTTTTTTTTTTTCTTTTCCTTTTTTCAAATCCTATTCATCTGTATTCAAATTTCTATGTGTTTCTTTTATATTTTATGCCTTACATAAGGCTGTTATTTTGTGTTGTTCAAAGGTGTTATACAAGTAAACACGCCTTGGCTCCCTCCTCTTAATGCTGCAGGCCAGGAGCATCTGATAAGGAAGTGGCAAAATTACTGAAACATTTATGAGGACATTTGAGTCTGGTACACATTAGCAGATAATCATATCCACCACATCACAGAAACATTTTAAGGCTCATTATAAGCTGCAAACTGAACAAGTTCTGGATGAAATTCTGCTCCCACGACATGAGTTCTTTTGTTGACATGCAAATACAGAACAATAAACACAAATTTGATAGGTTAGCTTTGATACAGTGACTCACTGACAGATACAGTAGTGCACTTTTTGATGTAAAGCAAAGCATGCTCACGCAGTGCAGTTCAGAATACACTTTGTTTTTTTTATTTGTATTTTGCACTACATGCCTTAAACATTGTGTCATGCATAATTAGTTGTTATTGTAAAGTAAAAATATTAAACATGTATATGTATGTATATGTGAAGATTTATTTGCTTCTGTGTTTCACCATCATAAATTCAGTTTTTTTAGGCTTTTTAGATGTCTTTAAACTTTTTTCCTTTCACCTCCACAGTACCCGTCCACACTGGGATTCATCTTGGCTCTCTGCTGGTGTCTGCTGGTTTGTTCCAGCCGAATCTACATGGGAATGCATTCGGTGCTGGTGAGTGTGATCGATCTCTTACACACACACAAACACAGACTTGTAGTCTTGCCAAACGAAGGACATGTTTAATATCATCTTGTGTTTTTAAACATCATACCAGGTCTGTTGGACGAACAGCAACAGTAGTGATTTGTACCAGTGTGTGGGCACGTAGTTAAGGTTAACTGTGAGAAGTCGTCATCTCAGGGCATGCTGCAGAGTAATGCAAATGTATGGTTATGAGGAGTATAATGAAGGAGTAAGTAAGTAACTAAGAGGAGTAAATAAGTAAAGTAATACATTCTTTTTTGAAGAAGTAATGAGTTCTTACCTTTTAGAGTAAGAACTCCAGCACTTTCTGTCTTACGTTTTTGGTGCTGTTTACCAAGCTAAAGTAGTTTGGTGTCAATTCGTTTTTAATATAAGAACCTGTGAAGGGTAGGCCTTTCACACAGCAATATTGTTTAACTTTTACTACCAACAATCTGACCTTTCTTCAAAGGGTCAACCCTCTCTCAGACAGCTGTCCATAGTTGTGATATGCTAGCATCATTTACCAGAGGATCTTTATTGAGAAAGAAAATGTATTTCAACACTTTTTAAAGGCTGTTGTAGTTTTTGGCTTTGGATGCATTTATTTGTTTATATTTTATATGTTTGTACAGTGATCACTAGTCTGACAGCACCACAGACCATTTACCGGTTCAGCAATTCAGCAACGGCTGGCAAATAATTGACTGTGTTATTGCTCCTTTGGGATAGTAGTGTATGACGCACTCCCATGTGGCAATAAAAAATATGCAAGAATATGTTTTTAAGACAAGAAAGATATGTGTAATTGTTTTATTTTTTAAATAAGTTACCATTTAACAAGTTGTCTGTTCTAGTTCACTTTTAGTTGTCATTGTGTAATAGTGGTTGTTCAAGTCTCTGTGCACTTTAACAAAAAGGTATGCTGTTTTCTTTCTCTTTTTAAAACTTTTGGGACTAATAAATATTTAAATGTCACACTTGGAGGATGGATTAGTGACATTTCAAAATCCTGCTTTTTTGTTCCTGTGTTAACCTCAGATCTAAGGTGATCTTAGAAAAGAGGAGAACAGGTTCACTGCACATACATCAGTCCAACTGCAAGGGAAGGAACAATAATGGAAACATGATTTTGAGTGGATGGGAACTTGAAAATGTCTTTGTTTTATACTGTGATTAACAGCTAGGCTCAGGAACAGGAAACCTCTCGAGCTGTTGATGTTAAGCAGGAGGTGTATTCTGAACTTTAGTCCAAACAGTAGCTTTCCTGTGTTAAAATGTTGAGAAGGCAGCTAAAGGTAACAACAAGAAGGTAGGTGAACCACTGCAGTTCTGTGCTGTTTGTGGAGTTCATAGTTATGGAAGTGCATCTCCTCACATATACCAAACTGTGATGTTCACAATAAGTCATCAAATGAACAGTAATGGTTGTTTCATATCAGACATAGTTGTCAACTCCTTGCATTGTTGAATCTTCAGTCTGACACTGCTTCCAAACTAACCAAGTACAGTGAGGAAGTGAAACACACCGCAATATTAAAAATGCAGGCCAGTAGATGTTGTCGCTATTGCTGTTATTATTTCACTTCTCATTCTCTCATTTTCTGTTTGTTATTACTGCTCCTTGGCACTGGCACACAATTTGACAACAGTGTTAGTCCCACTCATGATTAACTGTCTGCTCAATTCTGCCAAGGTGCCACATGAATCAGCACACTGGTGGAGTAGATGGATTCAAAGGTCAAGAGTCAGGCAACAAAGATGGCAAAGGAGCCAACTTCAACACCAGACAAACTTAATATTGTGCAGATTTAAGTTCAGCTTATCAACAGTCCCAGTTTTTCATGTGGTCCCTTATCCACTCCCTGGTTTAGAGCCTACCTGTACTAACCATGCCTTTCAGCTAACCTGGACCAGTGATTCTGTCATGAGCATGCTTAGGCCTGTATATACCATCAGCGAGAATTAGTAGTGGAACACTTGATGTTTTTGCCTGCAAAAACTTGCCCCTGCTTCTTTTATCTGCTCTCACGTTAACGGAGTACAGTCATAACAAATCTATCACCACAGAGGTGTGTATACCTCAGGTTCCCTACAGCATTAGAAGTTTTCTCAAAGTCCTATTGGTTGCAAGAGATGGGGGGGAAATGAAATCAACCAGCTGGAGATACTTACTTGTAGCTCCAGCAGTATGTGCTGACTGGTATAGAATTCAATCCTGAGTCAGTCTGAATCAAGTTCCTTTTGCAGTTCATACATATATATTAGAAAATCATGAACCCTGGCTTAAGAAGTCAGACTCGGCTTGAATGCCAGATGTTTTCATGGATTTATTTTTAAGAAACACATCAATACTTCTGTGGTGAAAAAATCCTCAAGAGTCACCTCAGATGTTTTGGTCAGATGTCTGGTAGTCTGTACGGGGGTGAATCTCACTGGTAAACGATGTCAGTCTTGGTGCACTTGTGGGGTTGGGCTGTCTGTTGCAGAGGGAACATTCTCCGTGGTCATGACTGTATCAGTGATGGATGGTGGTGTGAGACCACCAGACATTACAGCACGCTGACCATCTTCCCAAACAAACTCAGAAAGTAATTCCACATCAGAGACCTTTAAGAGCTTTCTGTGGGTGCCCACAGGTGGTATCGCTGTGAAAACCACATGCACATCTGCCTGCTCAATTGGTTTCATATCTCTGCTGCATGTCAAACAAAAAGGTCCAGTTTTCTCCACAAATAGACAAGAGCTGACCTAGAAAGGTGTTTAAGATGATTAATTTAGCAGTCAGTCAGATTACAGTTCAGTCGAAATGAGCGTGCTGAGACGATTGATCCTGACATTTAAGCAGAGCGACAACAATCAGCCTTCAAAATCACAGCTGCTTGAGGAGCAGCAGTTATGCCCCAAGGAGCTTATTACAGTTTTTCAAGAAAAAAGCTGTCATTAAAAAAAAAAAAAAATTAAAAGAAAAACATCCAGGACTGATTCAACATTTATATGTGATTTGTCAAAATAGTGAGCATTCATTTAAATAAAGACAAGGAAAAACACTCCCTCATGGGTCCCACGTTACTTAATGAGTTCTCAAAAGATCACATGAAACTGTTAAACAGAGGAGTTTTTGTGATTTCCAAAGCAAAAGAATCTGCTGTTTTCCTGTATTACATTGATATCCACGTACTAAATTTCTCTCAGTAGCCCTGTGAGACAAATTTGTCATTTTGCCTACATAAATAAAGGACCAGTGGCCCTATATTAAGAATAAATAGGTAAAAAATAGCTCATAAATTAAAGCTAGACTCCTTCACATTAAAGTGCACCTTTAAACAGTAATATATTTTTTGCTTGTGAGATCAATAAGACTTAGTCAGCTCATCAACAAGTAATAACAGTAAATGCTGGGTTAGTGGGGTGTGGGTTTTGCTCAGCTGCAGCAAAAGAGGTGGCACAGAGTACTTCAGGGAGGGCTGATCAGCACAAGCTGTGGCACATTCACTAATTATGCAGTCAGGCACTCGGGCCTTGATGCTTTAACATTGTTTTGTATGAAAACTATGTGAAATACTTTAAATGGCATGTATTTGTCTCTCTCTCATATTAAAGTCCTCATCGTTCTTGCAGCGTGACCGCTTACTGTTCTTGATTAAGAAGTATTTGTGAGCAAGCCAGAAACTCCTGCTGGCTCTCCTCACTGTCTCACCATGGATATGTTAAAAAAAAAAAAGTCTGTAACCATAGCAACTGTTGCAGTACACACCAGGCCTGGGTTGACTTTAAGCAATGATGTCAGTTTATCTATAAGATCTTAATTGTCCCTTAAAATAACCAATTCCCCCTTAAGTAAGCCTTAAGAAACCATGTCTTTGTACAGCGGTCCATGACATCATAAAGACACACCATCTGTATTTTAACTCCTCAGTTGAACTATGTCATACTTGTACTGTGTGACATTTAGCCAGGTCAGCCAGTGCAACTTCTAATGACATTATCATATAATCTGTGAAAGGTGTGCACATGCTTTTCACCATTTCACACAAAGCTTGAAATAAAGCCATGTGTGGTGTAGTAGTCACATTGATTTTTTTTTTTTATATCAACAGTACTTTTGCAGTATTGGGTATGTATTTCAGATTTTGAGAAGTTGAAAAGTAAGAATATTTGTTTGCTCAGTAGGTCATGCTTTTGTTGTATTGATTTGAAGTTCTGGGGTTTGGGTGTTCTTATTTTAATATAGAACCACATCCTTATGGATTATTACGCTTCAGTTCACCTCATTTCCAGCATGCAGACCGCTACATTTTGTGATTTAATTAGATTTTTCTAAGAATTGCCTCCTGAAATATTTATGGACAGCACTGCCTTGCAAATGGGGGTCCTGCTGTCCCACTCCACTCGCAGATCTCTCTCCTTCTGCTCCGTTCAGCAAATGAGAGCGCGGCAGGCTGTGCACGGCCTGAGAGAACACATAAAGACCCTGTCACTTGTAACTTTCTCTCTGAGTCAGTGATAATGTTTGACTTGGCCATATTTATGTTTAACTTGTGTGTGTAGTGATTTTGTCACAGTTAAAAAAAAATCCCTTGATTATCACACCAAAGTCCTAGAGCTCAAAAACCATTGAGCTTAGAGGTGACATCATTTTGTACAGGAGGTTTTATTACATAGGGTTGAACCAGTTTTGAATTTCAAGCCTTATACTGTTGTTTGAAAACAGGAATTGGACAAATATGATACCAGTATTTTTTTTCCAGTCTTTTTATTTGGTTTTCTTTTTATTCTATGATAACAACGATTCTTTAAGACTCTTTTAGCCTTCAATAAAAATATATTCAATAAAAAATAAAGTTTTGGTCTGTATGTAAGAACATGATTTGTCTTTATTTGAGCAATTAACAACCATAATGCTTTGAGGGAAATAAACAAGAAACATTTATGCCGTCACTTGTGCTACAGTATAAGCCCCTCTATTTTAGTAAAGTGGGAGTTATTTAATGTTTAGCTGTAGAGACAGTCTCATTTAGCCAGCTTATAAAATTCTGAAGAGCATCTTTCTACATAAGTTGGTTTCTTCTCAGTGGTACAGATACCCCTGAAAATTGAAAACTGGTGTGACTCTGAACATGTGTGCGTCATGTCTGTCTATTCAGATTTGATTGGATTACGGGGGAAAAATGGGTGTGAACTTTAAGGTGTGACTCGCCTGAAAAACAGTGACCTCAGAAACACAACATTCAGGTCAAGAGAAAAGACGTGAACCTTCTTGAGAATGCTCGAGCTGCTGGTGCACAGGCACAGAGCTCATTTCCTCCTTGTGACTTAGCCCGACGGCTGAAGGCTCCACATCACTGTTGGGAATCAGGGACTGGAGCTTGAATACTTGGTGAGCTATTATCGGTCTGCTGTGCCAGGCCTGCAGGGCACTTAAAGAGATCTGGAAATCATCACGCCCAATCAAACTGCTTCCCCCCTGCTTTGTTGAACAGGAAGAGCTTGCAGACAAAAAGTTGTTCTGCCCCTGATAATCATGGTGTGTTCTGCAAATTGTTTACTAGTTTGTGAGAACTGTATGCCATTTCTAGCTCCCTGTAATGTTTTGATATTTAAATGCAACATTTTTTTTATTATTCTTATTATGCTTCTGCTATCTTACAAATCACATTATTTATAGGATTTTGAGGCTTTTAATATGTTGGTATGCCCAGTAGTCTGATGTAACTCCACTAACTTTATTTTTAGTAAACTTAGAAACATACCGATCAACTGTGTATGTGCCCACATCCTGTTATTTCCCTGCAGCTGCTTCCCTGTGTCTTCTCTCAAAATCTAAATGATTATTATTTTTTGCCTTTAGTGGACAGATGCAGTGAAGATGGACAGGAAAGTGGGCAGAGAGAGCAAAGACGTGTAGCTAAACCGGCATTGAGTATTTTAAAATTCAAAAAAGAAAATCACAATGTCAGTGACTAACTTTGTGATATTTTTTAAAGCCTAATAATGAAACAAGAAAGTAATGCGTACTATTGGGAATTCTCTTTAGTTGCACTGATTAAGAAATAATGCTGCAGCTGTTAATTTACATCATGTACTTGTTACTGATGCGTGAATTGAACTTGTACATCATTTGCAGTAATTTAGCGAACAGGCAGTAGGCACATGTGGTTGTGTTTTACAGAGAGAGTTCTTAATGGTTCTTTCAACATTTAGGCCACCCATTCTGACAATTTAATGCTCTTTTATTTTGTTGTAAAGATTAAGGCATCTACTGAATGACATGCAGTGCGTTGTTCATTAAGGGCACACCCTCTTTTTGGACGATTTTAGTTCAGGCAGCACATTGGTGTCAGTGGAGGAGAAAATTACAGATGGCTGAAAGCTTCCAGCCTCTCACTGTGTGTGCTATTAAGAGAGAAGGTGGGATGGCACTGGCACCAGTTACCTTCTCAGAGGTAATTTGGTTATCTCACTGACTCATTTTGATATGGTCACACAGGGAAATGTGTCCTTATAGTGAACCATCTGTCAAAAGTGGAACTGCTGGGACACAAGTTGTTGCTGGGCTACAATCCATCTGACGCCAGCTCTGCGGCTCTGGCGCTCGTGGCTCAGCACGGGCTACTAACTGACTGTTAGCTCAGGGCTTACACGTACCACAACATGTACTTAAGCAGCCAAATAGATACTTAAACTCTAACAGGACCTCAGTTTCCTTCCAGTGCGGCCATTCGAGTGGGCTGACCCTGCCAGAGACGGCTGCAATGTTCCAGTGTCTGGCTGGTGGATGGAAACTGGTGTAAAGTTACAGTGGCTATCATTGATTTCTCCTTCCAGGGAAAGCAGACACTAATCACAAAAGTAAATAGTGTACACACCCAGCTTAGCAAGATGAGGAATGATAAGGTGTTAATTTACAGTGTGTGCACTCACGTTATAGCAACGTACCCAACGGAGTCTCTTCGCTGTAGGCATGTGCGTAAATGGCCAGGAAATCTGAGCCTGTCAGCAGAAATGGACTTGAGGGATTCCCATTTTTCATTCTTGTAATGTTTAAGATACGTGATTACTACTAGACCTCGTGAATAGTATAATGATAGCAAACGTGTAAGCCACAGTATGCTAATGTATAACATACATTAAAGGAGAAAAATAAGTACCACTGATGGCAGTGCTCAATATACACTCTGCAAACCAGTGTGATCTGATTAGGATTATTCATTACATGCCATAAGTGTGCATAATTGAATAAACTCGGGTACTGTGTCAAGTTTGCCATATGCATCCTGCAGGGTGATAACGCGAACTGAAACATAAGCTTTAGTTCCTCTACCGTTACTTCTTTTGCTACACCCGTAGCAGCTGGAGGATGAATCAAACAAAAGAGGCTTCTGCTGCCACAGTGTAACCAGGTTTCTTTTCTTTGTCGGAACTCCATTCATCGCACGCAAGCCTTTGCTTAATTTTTTTCCCTACGAGTGCCAACTGTGATCAGGCTCTTATCGAAAGATCTCTCCTACTATGTAATGCAGGATCACCATTTACGTTCAAAGATTACACCTCGATCCTTCCACATCGGTTATATAATTAATCTCGGACAACACAAAAAAATGTCGTTTTACTGTTGCATATTATCAGTTCTAGTTTAGTGCGTCAAAATCAACTCCAGAAAATGCACAGAAAATTACAAATGTTGTTTTTCCCCCAACCCATAACCAAAGTGTAGCCGCACACACAGGCCGACATTCAACTTGAAGAGCTGCTTAAGTTGCCGTCTGCCCTGTGGTGCTTCAGGAAATGTTACTTTTCCTCCCCAACATTCAAACAGGTGCGAACACTGAGCATTATATCAGCATACACACACAGCCAGATACATGTCTCTCTTACAACAAAAGAGAGACATAAGAACATGCAAGAATAAGGCTTCAGTGTCTCAGAGGCGTGGGAACAGATTCGGCTTAGGTAAAATTTGTGTTTCATGTCATTTTTGTAAAGTTTGTTGGTGGAACAACACGTTATCTAGAAATAAGGTTTAATTGTGAATTAATTTAATATGGGTACAGTGTTGCAGATGAATGTCTGTCAAGTCAAGTCAGGGTTTTGATTCTGTCAGTGTGATGTGGGAACCATGTCGGGTAGTAAGGATTCTTAGATTGGTAGTAGACTGATCACAGAATGCCATCCAGATACAAGGAGTCACTTATTTCAGAAACAGCTTGGAGACGTTGAGCAGGAGCTGGGGTGAAGTCACAGATTTGAAAGGTTTAGAGGAGGCAAGAAGCCAACTGTCAGTTTACTCCAGAGATCAGTAAATAAACAGCTGTGACCTTTGTGTTTGAGTCCAGAGTTCGTCAGCATGTAGATCTTCCCGTTTTCCTGTTTCCTGTCAATGCTGATCCACTTCCTTGTTCCCATCTGAAGGAAATGCTCCAATAAATATCCTAATAATAGCACCCCTTATCTGGTAAAGGGATTTTGCTGCTGAATCAGCTTGTGCAGGTTTAAAATTTTAATCTGCTGCTTGTGTTGTTTCAGCATTTATTCACAGAATGCATGATCAGTATAAATCATGTTTTCTAGCCAAGAGGGAAATTTGTTTTGCAGTCAGGT